TACAAACAGTAATAATGTGAAATATTATTACCATTTAAAATATTTTTTTTCTATTTCAATATATTTTAAAATGTAATTTATTCCTGTGATCAAAGCTGAATTTTCAGCATCATTACTCCAGTCTTCAGTGTCACATGATCCTTCAGAAATCATTCTAATATGTTGATTTGATGCTCAAGAATGTTTTTTTTGTATCATTAATGTTAAAACAGTTGTGCTGCTTAAATATTTTTGTGGAAACCGTGATGCATTTTATTTTAAGATTCTTTGATCAATAGAGAGTTCAAAATAACAGCGTTTATTTAAAGTAACAATATAAATATCTTTACTGTCAGTTATTTCATTCGTTTTTAGCAAGTTTGACTCAAGACCACCATAGTGTTGTAAGGATCATTTACTTTTATTAGTATTTTAATGATAGGATTATTCAGTTACTGGCCAATTCAAGCAATTCATGATGGAAAAGTTGTTTAAAGTTGATGCATCCAAAAAAATTCGTTTTTTTGTTACATCCTTATTAGCTTTGACGTTCTTCAGAATCTTGGCAATATATGAAATTGTGGTTTCCAGGCCTAATAAAGCCTAGATATTTCATCACCTATAACTTGTGAGTGCTATCTCTAAAAATCCTTGTTTGATAACCACAAACAAATGTGAAAGTCATGGATCACGAGACACCGAAGCCCTTTCAATTTCAAGAATGAAGATTATCACACCCTACAGTTTGTATAAGCTTGTTTGGATCAACATGATCAAATGTGCTCTTAAAGTCGTTTGGTTTATTGACTACCTTTATTGTCGAGACCACTGTGGCGGTTGTTATTTTGTGAGCAACAAAGGGGCGGACACTTCCTCCTCATCTCTGAAAGACTTGTGTTTTGGAATGCGTGCGGCCCTTCCCCCCACTGGCAAAACTCCTGCGTCTGTGTGGCCGCATTCACTGCCAGTCAGTCTCTCAAGGGGTTAAAAACCTGCTTCAGTCTCCCGGCTGCGTCCACCAACCGGTTCAGACTGGTTTTCAGGGGAAATGCTTTATGTGTCCCATGGAATCTTGGGAAGGGTCATGTGGAGCCCTAGTGATGTCATGGCAGATGAGAGCAGGCCTGGGTGTTGAGTCAGCTGTCTTGCTATCAGATGGCTGATATCATATGTAAGACAGGTAGGTCGGCACGTTTCGTATGTGCCTTGATGTGCCCAAATGATGGATTAGCTTCCTGTAAAGTGGCTGTTGGGGTTTGAATGCATGTTTTAAAGCTCACAGCCTGGCACAATTCAGGCTTCTGCTTGGTGCGATTGTCTTTCCTGTTTGTGGGCTTTGCTTCTGTGGTCTCTTTCAGAAATGCCACTTTAAAAACTGTTGTTTGAGTTGTCTTGCTCAGGTACAAACATCATCATATACCTGTAATTCTCGACCGGTCGTGACCCAAAATAGGGGTGCAGATCTGTTCTGAAAGGATTAACAAGGAAACACTCAATGTCAAATGCAAGTAATCGTTTTAAAGTTAGGGATGCTCATGATTAACTGGTCAACCGTTAACCAACAGTAAGAATTTTTACCAATTAATACTATGTTAAATGGTAGGGATGCACGATATATCGGCCACCATATCGGTATCGGCCGATATATGTTCATTTTTAATGTTATCAATATCAGCCCGGTAAGAACATTTGGCTGATATATTAAAGCCGATAAATAATGGATTATTTCCTTCAGCTGAGACAACCGTGATGGTTTTGAATGGCTTGAAATATGATTGGAATCACTTCAAAAAGGAAAATACAGTTAAGTGCAACATATGCAGCGCAAGTCTGTCATATAGGCTACATAAAATTATAATGAGATCATAATTGTGTTTTAGGTCATGGCTTTTAATGGCGAGACATTTTTTTTTATCAGGCTCTCAAAAAGAAAAATTTAGGATTTATCGGCCAATATATCGGTTGTCGACTTTCAAATATAAAGAATTATTGGTTATCGGTAAAATTTTTAATAATGGTGCATCCCTATTTAATGCTTTAAAAAGTAATTCAAGTCATTTTAAAGTATTCTTTCAAGGCTGCATGGTTAAAAAAATACGATACACAGAAAATTGTGTTTTTGTTTATTTTTTGAGGAAAAACAGCCACATATGTTACATTTGATCATTTCCTTCAGAAATAATGTAAAATACCAGTAGATTTGTCTACGAAATGTTTACAAACTTTATAAACATTATGATAGGCTATTTAAGCTCCCCTCACTCCACAAAAAATCCTTTAAATTTAGCAGTATTCAGAACAGAAGAAGAGTGAAAAATATAAGTGACTATAAGCCAAAACTAATTCATTTAAAGTAGGGATGTCCCGATCCGATCACGCGATCGGAAATCGGGCCAGATCACGTGGTTTCAGACTCGATCGGAATCGGACGTTACCTCCCGATCAGGACTCGGATATATGTAAATTAGGGGTGTAACGGTACATGTATTCGTAATTATTGAACCGTTTCGGTTCGAGGCTTCCGGTTCGGTACGCATACAAACCGAACGATTCCCAGGACCATTTTTCCTGCAGACAAAATCCGCGCTGGCGCGACCACCACAACGTTGCGCAACATCAAATGGCAAACGTAATGAAAGCGGAACGAATCTTCGCTACTCATTATATTGTGCTTAACGGGCCATTTATCAGTTCGGACCAGCAACATCTGTGCAGCGGGAGATCAAGCGACACTGTGCTAAGAGATCCAGTCCAGTGAAGAAAACATTTGAATTCGCCACTGAAGTAATAACATTGCAGCGAGATCTAGTGAGAAGCATTCACATTTCTCCATTATTAACCGTAGATCTCTATTAGATCAAACAGCGCTGACGTGGGAACCAGGAGAAACATTGTGAACATGGATTTAATGTTGCACTTCAAAACTCAAATATTATATAAATATATATTTAAATGTTATTTTTAATGTGATGACCAAAACATTATTTGTTCATCCTTCAAAGATTACCCCCATTTATAAACTTGAAAGTTTCAAAATGTAGGAAAACTTAAACTTATTTAAAGGTTTTTCTTTTAATAAATAGGAAATTTCTCTGGCATTTCTTTCTTTTTGCTGTATCGTATCGAACCGAACCGCAAATTTTGTGAACTGTTACACCCCTAATGTATATATATATATATATATATGCTCATTATTTTTTTTATACACTTTTAAAACATTTTTATTTTTTGTTTACATGCCTGCCGGGTATTTTAAGTTGAGGTGCTATTTGTTTTTATATTAGACTTTTTCTATATTTACTGTTGCACTAAAGTCTAAAAGTGAAGATTTTATGTTATTTATTACTTGATTGTTCAAGCTACCTCACAGAAGTGCTCTGTTTGTTAACAGAGTTGTTGAATGTTAAAATAAGGTGAATTAAATAAAAAATAAGGAACATCCTGGACCTGTTTTTTCTCTCTTCTTTATTCTTTTTTTATGTATTATATAAGTATCGGATCGGGACTCGGTATCGGTAGATATTTAAAATCAAATGACTCGGACTCGGAAAAAAAACCCTGATCGGGACATCCCTAAAGTAAAACTGAAACATGTAGCCTCTCTCATTCAGCACAAATCCAAATGCTTACATTCGTGATGTGTTTTGGATGCTAAACTTATTTATTACGTAAACTAGGCTTTGTACCTCACTCGTGTATTAGTATCGACATAAAACATCATACTTCACATGAAATGTGTTTGGCATCATTCACTGTGGTCAGGCTGAACACCACAGATTGTACGGAGGACTAATTTAGTGTTCATTTATAATATAAAGTATTAATGTACTAATTTAAATTGAGCACAGTGTCACTTTTTATATGTTTGGTTGACTATTTTATTTTGATAATGAACAGCCTGCGATGTCAAGTTAGCACTGCTAGAACCGATATGTTGTGCGTGAGGCATCCGTCATTTATGGTCATATGGATAAAAGTAAGACACCATTCGAAACGGTTTACTTTTATTTGTGTATTAATCTCACAATAAAAACAAAACCATGTGCTTTTGTAAAATAAACCAAACAAACAGGATGCGCTTTCTGCTGTCTCGTTTTTCTTTTTTGTGGAGTTGTTCAAAAGCAAGCAGTATGGGAAACATCACAACAAATATTATGTATTTATTCTATTTGTAGTAGTAGTAGTAAATATATATATTTTTTACTTATTCCACAATAAAACATTAAACAAATTATTTTTCTAAAAATATTTTTGTTTAGTCTAGACATCAAGTGGCAACCCAAAACAGTACCAAAATTATTTATTGTCCTACAGTAAAATGTGGGTCCTTGATATGGTATAATGTTGTATTAGTGATAGATTTCAAAGTTCAAAAGAACAGCATTTATTGGAAATAGAAGACATTATAAGTGTCTTTAAAGTCACTTGACCAATTTAATTGTTTTAAATGTTTTTTTTCAAACAAGTTAAAGTTGAAGCATCAAGAAAAAGGAGTCTTTTGTTACATACTTAGATTTGATGTTCCTCAGAATCCTGGTGGAAATATTGGAAATTGTGGTTTCCAGGCTTGGAAACCGTTTAAAAAAAAGGATTTTTCTTAAGTGAAGATATACATGTCTACTCTAAAATATTTTTTCACCTATAAGTTGTGAGTTCAATCTCAACAAATGGGAAAATCATGAATCATATACATGTATATTGATATTGTGTTTTTAGTCATTGTATTTTACAGTTTTAGTCCATTTTTAGATTATTGTCATCAGATGATTCAGTTCACATCCTGTGTGAACGCCACTTAAAACGCATCTGTTCAGGCTCTCTACATACATATGATCATTTCCTAAGTTTATCAATATTGTTGAAAAAAAGCATAATTGTGAATTGACCAAATATTGTGTAAAATATGCATTCATTTGTTTTAGCACTTGTGTGTACATATTATTTGTCATTAAGACAAATGACACTATATAATATAATAGTCTATCTGACCTAATATGCTTGACTGTGGTGTTGTTTTACAGGCGAGAAGATGTCGGAAGAGGCGGTGCGTCAGACTCGTAGTCAGAAGCGGGCTCTGGAGCGAGATGCCCCTGCTTCGGAGGCCGACTTGAAAAAGGTCAAGCTGGAGAGAGGAGAACTGGGAGCTGTAGATGGACTGAAGACCAAAAGTGAACAGGCCAACAAGGTGGCTAACATCCTGCGGGCTGGGGAGGTGAAGGCCACCATCAAGGTGGAGGTACAGACCAGCGACGAGCCTGTGGACATGAGCACATCTAAGAGGTAGACCACAGGTCGAACATAAGAGTGTATTTTTATTCCCGAAACTCCTTTAATGAAATAACAAAGCTGATCTTAGGTAGTCGTGACCTGTGAACTGGAGAATTAGCGTGATCTCGGTCCTGCTGTTTCTCTCTTGTGTTTGTTCCGAGGGCTCTTAACCTCAGGCTGCTCCGCTGAGACTTCCTGCTTGTAGTTCTGAATATAAAGCGTCTGCTAAATGCAAAGTAAACAAGGTATCAAGTAGATGCAAAAGAGAACGGCCCGAGTTCACTCGTTTATATACCATGCGTACAATTCGAGTTTAACTTGAATTCCACGAATTTGGTCCAATATCGAAAAATAACAACTTGGGATGTAGAAAGTCAGAAACCATGCAATAAAGCATATGCAATAACTTTTTACTTTATTTTTCAATAAAGTTAAGTGATGCAGATAAAAGACTAAGTGCATAAATAGGAGAACGTTTGAATATTAATATGGTACCATTTTACAGCAAGGTTCAATTAAATAGCATTAGTTAATTCCCCAAACTTTTGAACGGTAGTGTATATATGTATGGATGTATGTGTAATATATAATAATTTATTATTTTTAATTTGTTCATTCATAATGCATGAAATAATGTTGAGTTATACAACTTGAATTAAGTAATTAGTATACCGAGAAATTAAGGTTAACAAATTGAACTTCACTATGAATGAAGTTTTACTATTAATATAATTACTCATGGACTTTATTTGCATGCAAATTTTTCCTGTTCCTGTCCATTCTTCATTATTGTATCGATAGTAGCGGAAAAATGTAAGTAGATTTCTTGCGTTTTTCTGAATTGCCAGGCCCGTTGCAAAGTAATTGCAAAGCTATTCTTAATGGTTTTTTATCATTAGTTGCTATTCAAAAGTGACCAAATCCATTAATAATAAAAAAAGATCTTGAAATGGTAACAAAATATTCCAAATAGCAATGCATCTTTGATAGTTAGTCTCGAAAAGTTTGTTTTGATTGTTAAACTCATTGCATGATAAACTAAAGGCAATTCCTATTTGTTTGTGATTGCATGATTAATGTAAAAAGCAAACAGAAGTCGTGATGAAGCAGAGTCGAGCTCGTGATAAAGGACAAAGGAGGTGGCCTGATGCCATGTGGGATGGGGGAGGGGCAGAAAGTTGAGTTGAAAGATGTCACACTCCACAAACACGACCGTCATATGCTCAACTCTTCCCAAAGACCACACTCGAGTATGCGCTTGCTCAGCACGCCAGTCTTCCCTCGGGTGGCACGCTGCCCCACTTCAAAAAAGAAAGAAGCAGCAGTCCGAAGCACTTTCCCCGTCGTACCTGAACCCTGACTGACTTTGCAAAAAGAGGCCTATGTCACAAACTGGTTTCAACCAGCCGTTGCCATGGTTTCCACACTGCCAGGAACAGTTAAAGAAAAGGGAGGGTGTGAGTCATGTGACCAGGGGGAAATTCTTGCATCACGTGATCTTGTTGATGCTGGTTAATACACAGGAAGTGATATAAAGTCACTTCTAGTGAAGTTTTGGTTGTGCACGTCATTAGATAAACTCCCATGAAGAACCTCAGTGGTTCCAGTAAACTTGGGCATGTTGTGTTTTGACGGATGGATTTAATTGGTCGGTTTCCTTTTAAGGAAACTGACGTTCTGCCCATGGATGTGTTATGTTTCTTCCTGTCCTTTTTACTTGAATGGGCCGTACTTTAGGAACGTTTACTTGTCTGCCTGATGAAAAGGGTACAATACTTGTTGCACATTTGAGCTTAGAGGGTGATAAAATGCACCGAAAAGTAAGTACTATAAGAAGAACTTTAACCATATCTAGGGACCAGAATGACTTTTTAGTCTTAGACCAGTATGCATCCACTCAGAAATCCCTAGCAACGCCCTAACAGCCTAGAACACTATATCATGAAACAACACATTAGCATCACATCAGCATGCAAACATGTGAGGGTGTGTTTTTGCATGCTATTACTTCAGGAGGCATTTTTACAATTCTAGCTCAGCAAGCGATTAAAATGCACTAACAAAATTTGGTATAAAGGAACTTAAAGCATATTTAGGGACCAGAATGACTCGGGGAATAAGCTCTTTAGACCAGTATGAGTCCATTCAGAAAACCGTAACAAAGGCCTAACAACAACCTAGAACACACTAGCATTGTCAGCACACAAACGTTAACTTGTTGTCTTCAGAAAATGTAGCTGCTACAGTTGCCTCCCAAGAAGCCAATTTCACTATTGACGAGTGTGTTGTTGCGATATGTTTAGTATTTGACCCTTATCCTATAAGCAGCAGATTTCCTATCAGCGGTCGGAGCAGAAGCATGAAAGAGGTTGTCTTTGTTGATATGCGAGCACCCTGTCTTCAGTGAAAGTTGAGGACGGAGTACACACAATAGCCTGGACGCTAGCCATCCCATCCCTTCCCCCTCCTCCTCCTCCGTCGTCCCTCAGGAGGGGCCGTAGACCTACTCTGGGTACAGCTCTACTGTCCTTACAAGTCATCAACGTGACACCGCTCTCGTATTGCTCCTTATGGCTGATTTGAACTTGGAGCAGCTTGTGTTTAATCGAACCGTGAAAATGTTTCATTTTCGTGTTAAGAGGCCTTCTAAAACTTCTTGCGCCGCTTCCTTGAAGAGCATTTCTTTTTAAGTGTTTTTTTTTACCAAATGTGCAAACGGAGGTCATAGGACGACCTCTAGTGGGCAGTGCAGGAAATGCAGCTTTAGGTGAGGAGCAGTGGGCCATTAGTATATAGTATATACTGCATACTTAGCTTTATAATATGTAAATATATACTATTGTAAATAATCAAACAAATAAAATTGTAAATGTCAAACAATGCTAAACGTTTTAAACAGTAGCACACTACATTGTCATGATGTAAATCAGCATGTTGGCTTCCAGTAGTTATCTCTGAAAATAAATAAATAAATAAAAATACAATCATGAATAAAGAAAAATAATAACAAACATAAAATGTTTATAATTATAACAATAATAAATTGATTATGAATGCAAAATATTTCCTTTTATTTTGTGTAATAATAATCATCGTTGTTGTTTTTATTTATGATATAAAATAAAGGAAATATTTTTGCATTTATAATCCATTTATCATTATAATCATTTTATGTTTGTTATTATTATTTTTGTTTATTATTATTTCTTTGCTCCAAATATTTTCTATTTTATATCATAAAAAAACCAACAACGATGATTAGTATTACACAAAATAAAAGGAAATATTTTGCATTTATAATCAATTTAAAAGAAATGCAAAAAAATATTTTGCATTTATAATCAATAAAATAAAGAAATAATAAACAATAATAACAAACATAAAATGATTATAATGATAAATGGATTATAAATGCAAAATATTTCCTTTATTTTATATAATAATGATAATAATAATAATCGTTGTTATTATTACCATTATTATTATATAAAATAAATAAAATATTTAGTAGTTTTAATCCTGTTTTGATTACAAAATAATAAAGACAATATTTTGCATATTTAATCCAGCTTTTTTAATAAAACTCTTTGGTAGTATGAGCAAATAATGAGTCTAGAAAGTGTATTGCATTGTGGGATGAAGTACTTCACATTCTGAATATTCAGGTATTTAACATCATGTTTTCAGCCCTGACTCATGTTTTCCCGTCTGTCTCTCTCAGCGACATAAAGAAAGAGCGACCTTCGACGCCAGATGATGATGTCATTGTTTTGTCAGACAATGAGCCTTCTAGTCCTTGTATGAATGGGGTCAGCTACAGTTTTAAGAAGACAGATACCGAGATGCTAATGGTAACAATGTCATGTCTTTTTGACACGACTTGTCAAGTTTTGCACACAGACTTCATGCTTTAAATGCCCCGTTCACTTGCTAACGTGACCTTCCCTCTTCATGGCACGTGCAGAAAAGCAGCCCGGCAGAACGGGAGCACATCATAAAGCAGCTGCAAGAAGAACTGCGTCTGCAGGAGGCCAAACTCGTCCTGCTGAAGAAACTCCGGCAGAGTCAGACACAAAAAGACGTTGTGCAAAAGGTAACGGGTTTAAAAGAAACGTAAGATGAACATAACACAACAACAAATAATGTCTTTCTAGTCAAATCCAGTTGTTTGAGGTATAAAACTGACCTTTTCTGTTTTGCAGTCAACCAATTCTGTGGCTGCTCCTCCACCTCTCGTCAGGGGCAGCATCTCATCCACTAAAGGACCCCTTCAGGTCAGTGCCAGTCACTCACACAGGACATGTTTTTTCGAGCTGAACTGTGAAGAGCTATTGAGACTTAAATACGTGGGTTGATTTCAGGTCTCCAACCGAAACTCAGGGACAGTCATTCCTCCTCCTCTGGTTCGAGGTGGAGCGCAGGTCTCCAAGCACGGCTCTGTAGTCATGCCACCCTTAGTCAGAGGCTCACAGGTATGCATAGTCTTTGCTATCTTAGCTAAAAAAACAGCTTTAGCTTTGAAATGAATCCTCTTTCTTTGCCGTTTGTGTGTTGTAGCCCATTGCCGTGACCCCGCAGCAGATTGCGACCCTACGGCAGCAGCAGCACCAGCACTCGGGGTCTGGTCCTCCTCCTCTCCTGCTGGGCGCGCGCACCTCTGTACCCAGCGTGCAGGTGCAGGGCCAGAGGATCATTCAGCAGGGCCTGATCCGGGTCGCCAGTGTAGCCGGCACAAACGTCCTGGTCTCACAGGTCACTGTCATTCACTTGCTGTATATTATATATTTATTACAGTAATATTAGTAGATGCAGTAAAAATATTTATAATGCTTAATGTTTATAAATAATATTATAGTATAGTACATTTATTTTAATATTTATGTGTTTTGTATTATATGTATAAATATTTTATATTGTATTTTTACAATTAAAGCTACTAATGAACATATTTATTTAATATTTAGTAATATTTAAGTATAGTATTAAAACATTTAGTTTTATACATTTATTTGAATGATTTTTATACATTTTTAATAATATATATATTTTTTATTAAACTACTAACTAGAAGCATATACAATTTATAATATACATTTTTGCTATTATAGTATTAGAACTTTTACATTTTTACATTTTATAATTGTATACATTGTTATACATTTTATAACATTATTTTAATTATACTATTAAAAACTAGTAAATATTTATAATATTTTTGCTATCATATCCTTAAATTAACTTAGTACAGTAGTTGTATTATACATATTTTATTATTATATATAAACATATTATATTAGCAGTATATTTTATTGTACGTACACAAAGCTACTATAAACTTGGTGTGTGTGTGCTATATGCATATATACATTTTATATTTAATACGGCATATAAAAGTTTATAATTTTACATTTTTGCTATTATATGCTTAGTTAGATGTAGTAGCTATATTATACAAACTATATATATATATATTTATATATAAATGCCATAATAAAAATGTATATACTTCACGAAGTATGCTATGAACAAAAGGTTTATGAAAGAACAAAAATGCTTGCAACATGAAAGATATTTTGTATATTTCTGTGTACAACATCAAATTTGTCTTGATGAACTGATATTCTAGAAATCATCTCACCGTCATGTTTTCCCATGTCCAGGCCTCTTCAACCGGTTTGAAGACCTCTCAGTCTGGTCTGGGCAGCAGCACCTCAACTGTCAACTCCAACGATTCTCCCGCCAGCCGGCAGGCCGCCGCCAAACTTGCGTTACGGAAACAGTTGGAGAAAACCCTCCTTGAGATCCCACCACCTAAACCTCCAGCACCAGAGCTCAATTTCCTGCCCTCGGCAGCCAATAATGAGTTCATATACCTGGTGGGGCTGGAGATGGTGGTGCAGAACCTGCTAGACACACTGGCTAAAAGTGGGTACAGCCTAGAAAAGCACATGCATGAGCTGTGAAACTATACCATGCTAATGTCACTTCTTTTCTATCCAGGTAAGCAGCCGCAGACTGAATCTGCATCAACCACGGCACCCAAGGAGCCTTTTAAGTGTTCCCAGTGCCAGACAGACTTCACCTCTCGCTGGAGGCAGGAGAAGAGCAACGGCTCCATCCTGTGTGAGCATTGCATGAGCTCCAACCAGAAGAAGGTGCTGAAGGCCGAGCACACCAGCCGCCTGAAGGCCGCATTCGTCAAAGCCCTGCAGCAGGAGCAAGAGATCGAGCAGCGCATCCTGCAGCAGGCCGCCTCCTCGCCCGTCTCCAAGACCACCACCACCTCATCTTCGTCGTCCTCATCCTCGCCGGTGATTAAATCCGAACACGTGCTGGTGTCTCCGCAGTACAAGCAGGTGCGCACGTCGCTGGCCCAGCAGACCAACAGAGGGACGTCGGTCGGTCGCTACCACACCATCACCACTAAGCAGGTAATGGATCCGCCTAGCTCGGCTGGTGTGTGTCCACACTCCATAACAAAGCTTTTTTCAGATTTTTAACATGTTTTTTTTTCCTCTCAGACTCCAGGCCAGCTGTCCCGCAGCATACAGCAGGCGGTGAGTGCGGGCGCACGCGGGGTGAGCCACAGCTTCTCCACGTCCTCTCAGCTCCAGAACGCCGTCACGGCCGCCGCGCTGGTCAGCAGGCCAGGTAAGCATGTCGTGAGGGCTGGGGAAAAGGGCTCCAGCAGCAGCAACCCCAACACCAATACCTGGAGGAAACAGAACAGCGGCACCACAGGTAGATGATGCCTACTTAAAAAAGTGTCTGCCCCTTCCTGTCTCCTCTTTTCCTGTATCCTTTTCCTGTATCTACGCACCTTTTTTGGTGTACAGTAGCTGATTGATACTGCAAAGGGCACACATACAAAAATGGCCCAAAAGTGCCCGTTAACAAACATACATACACACAAATCCAGTATATTTTATTTTATATATTCAGTAGTCAACATTTAAAGTGGATCAAAACCTTTCATCAAAGTTATACATGAATTTTGAACAATACCCTTTCTTGTCTTAGGACAACTTTGATGAACTTTAAATGTTGACCACTGTATATTAGGTATATTTTTTTTGTATTTTGATGAACGGAATAGTACAGAATTTTAACAATGATCATACTTGTAATAAGTAAATGTCCTCTTTTTTATCACTTTTTTATTGTATTTGATTTTATTTATTTATTTGACATTTTTTGGTATGTAAAAAATAGAAATTTTTAAGTTGTCAAATCTGTTACCATCATTTTGTGTCACTATTGATTATTACAGTTCTGTATTTGATTATTATTATAAATCAATGATTTTTTAATTAATCAAAAACCATCATATGACATCATCCTTTCATTTGGTACTTTTTGATTATTCAAAAACCGTTTGTCATCTTTTTTAACTCTGGACAGGTAAATGTCTCTTCTCTTCTTTTTTTTTAACCACTTTATCTTTATCTTAAATTTGTAAGAAGTGGACAATCTTAAAATGTCAACCCTGTTACCATCACAACTGTCGATTTATTAAAATTCAGTATTATTCAATTAATTAAAAACTCATATGGCATCATCCTTTCCACTCTTTGTGGATGCGTACATTTTTCCTTTCTGTACCTTTTCTTGCATTATTAGGCATGTTAAACTGAAAATCTTCCCTGTTATCATGAATTTTGCATAGTAAACAATTGATTATTGAAAAAAAAATGGGTATTGGTAAAAAATATCAGCAGTTGTTTTTCTAATAAACAACTTGTAGTGTCATGACCTTTAGCATAGGGCTATAGTAATTGCTAGGTAAATATCAAACTGTGTCAACACGGTTACCTCACAACCCTGTTTTGAAAGGCAAAGCTAGCTTGCAGTGCAGTCATTAACGGTCTTTGTTCAAAAAAATCTTGTAGATATGTATTTGGTCATCCTTTTGAAATGAATGATCATTAACCACTTCACATTCTCCCCCGACAGGTGTCACCATGGCTTATGTCAACCCCAGTCTGTCCGTGCACAGGACTACGTCTCCGGTGGACCGTCAGCGAGAGTACCTCTTGGACATGATCCCTTCCCGCTCCATTTCCCAAACGGCAAACACATGGAAGTAGTGCCCTGATTAAATCACCCTCAATTTTCACACAATTATAGTCCTGTCTTGTTGGACATTTGGTCGGTTATCAGTATCAGACAACCAGCCCTTAAGCAATAATAAAATTAAAAAATTATTATATTTTCTCTCTATTTCTCCTGTGTTCCGAGACCCTCAGTTGTACAGTCTAAGGTAAGACCCCATAGGCCAACAAGTGTCCTAGAGAAGAACTGTACCTGGATCAGAGATCAAGGAGACACAAGGACCTTTTCTTCAGGCCTTTGTATCCATCTACTGAATTTCTCCATTACCCAATGGGCTTTAGTGATCTAATACACATCCATGGTGGTGATATCACCCACAACTCTCAATTTACGGCCCTCCAGGTGGAGAAATTCCTCCATTATGTGAAACTAAAGCCTCCGTTCAGCATTTTCAGAGACTCATGGACATGCTTACCCACAGAAAGTGGAGGACACAGGACCGGAGAGATCCTGCGTGACGCCACGGATTGACCTTTTTGTGGACCATCTACATGCTATCCAATCACTTCAGCTACGATTTCTGCCCCACAGCGTCTCATGAACAGATATGAAAGTGTATGTTTGTGTATTTGATGTCAATACATTGCTTTTTTTGTTTTGTTTTTAAGCTTCACTGTGGACTCATTCCACCCTTTTCAAAATGGCCTTTTTTAAAGGCTACGAGTTTACGGAATTGTTATACTGTTGAGGTGGTTATACATCTGCTGGTGTAGTGTGTGTTTTTAAATACTTTGGGTTGTTTCTTTTTTTTCTTTGTAAGCTTCTTAAAGACATTTAACCAAGAGTTGTGCATCAGGGATGGTTACAGAGATGGACGTAACTAACAAAAAGCAGCAGCCACAACAGGACTACTACTTCTAGACCTTCATGTTTGTGCGATTTGTTAATCAGATGAGTCTGACGGTAGCTCATTTTTATTTTTCTTACAGGAACAATTGATATATTACGTTACACTTTGTTACCGTTGTGATGTGCTCCCCCTTAGGCTTTCTTGTAACAGCATCTAGGTAATATTTGGATGTTGTGTTATTTATAAATGTCACTTTAGATGAAGGAAATCCTGTTAGCTCCTTCCCAAATAGCTTCAAAGGGTTGTGAATTTAAGATTGGACTGTATTTAGGGTGTATAAATGCAAATTTTTTTTGTTTAAAGCACAATTCGTTTGTGTCCCGTCTACCATTTTAGATCCTGTTGGAAGTCGTACCGCTTAAGTCACGGCTTTATCTTTCCTTAAAGGAAATGTTTGGGTTGAAAGCATTTCTGCTTATTGAATGTAGCACACAATCTTAGCTAAATGAAATTGAGTCCTACCTGTCAGGTGGTGGTCATGTTATTTTTACCATCTCTTATTTTCCTTTCATCCGATTTGGTTTGCTAGCAGTACGCTCTGTATTTTAGCAGTTATGTATATTATATACTACAGCTCGGGTCCTTAGTCATTGCAGTACAACAAACACATCAAGTAAGGTCTGCTTCAGTCGATTCATCTTTTTCTTTTCTCGGAATGATCCGTTCCGTGATCTCGAATGCCTGTGTAGTGTTTCGGTCACAAAAGCTGACTGTTGTTCTGACTACTGCCTGCTGCTGACAACTAACACCATTCCATGTCCCCCGGGATGCTGCCATTGTGCACATCTCTTTTATGAATTGTTTAAAAAAAAAAACCACACAAAAAACCTTATTTTTTTTCATCTGTTTCTGCTCTATCAGCTATTAATTATAATAAAAACTAATTTTAACCAGTTTCATCTGTTGTGTGGGTGTATTTTGAGTGTTTTTTTTTAATATATAATCTAATTTGAATTCATTTAATGAACTTTCGGGTGTTTGAGGGGCAATGTGAATGCTTTTAGTCAGGGTGGACAACGTGGGTAATTTGATATGAATGAAAGGGCTATGAGGGATATAGATGTAAGTTTCAAATGGAATAAAATTAAAAATTGCAATTATTTACTCATGTTGTTCTAAACTGATTGCTGTTATGTTCAAGTAGAATGGAAAAGTAGACTTTTTAAATAAATTTGAATGGCTCTAACCATACAAAAGCACAGTGACCAATTGATCATTTTTTTTAGCATTTAAATTGTTGTATGAATGTAATTTTATATCTACAATTAAATGCAATAAGATTGCATGTATGAATAAATAGTGTGAATTGTATTATATTGTCATTTGGCCACCTTGCTCTCTAGATATCACTATCTTCATGGGCCATTAAAAGACACGCTTCGGTCACCCACTTACCTTTCTCAACCATTCTTATTAGAGCAATTTACGAGTTTCTCCATTGCTTGAAGATATTCAGCCTCAGATTGTTCTCCCAAAACAATAAAACTGATCATTTTCCTCAATCATGATTGATGTCCATGAAATTCAGAGATTATGACACTCTTTTCTAAACACTGACTGTTTTTCTGCAATTGCACACATTGTTTTATTAGCTCTTGTTCTTCAGCCTTGTCCCATCTGCAGCCACTGATGTTCTGCCACCTGTTGAATGGTCGGACGTGTGGAAGGATTAAACTGGAGCAGAGTACGGATGAAGACCCGACATGGTTCCTCAACAGGAGCGTCATCCGGATAAACCAGAGACTTCCGCTGAAGCCGGTGAAGTCTTCTCACATTGGTGTCATCGAACGGCATCTTTCCAGTCACCATGATGTATAGAATCACCCCGAGGCTCCATACGTCATACTTCTTTGGGTCGTACGGCGTTCCCATGATGACTTCAGGTGGAGTATAGGCTGCAGAACCGCAGAAGGTGTGACTGAGCTCTGATGGGTCTTGAATGCTGCGGGCGAAACCAAAGTCTGTAATCTTTACTTGTTCTTCGGCTGTCAACAGTATGTTTTCGCATTTGAGGTCCCGATGGACGACGTCCATCTGGTGGAGGTAGTTGACAGCACTGACCATCTGAGAGAACAAGGTTTTGCTTTGGTCTTCTGGGATGCGATTCACTTCATGTATCTTCTGAAGGAGATCTTTTGCAGCAGCTTCCATCACGATACAGAGTCGCTTACCGGCCACCTCGATGAATTCGTGCATTTGGACAATGTGGTCGTGCCTCACTTGTCTTAAAACTGCCAGTTCCCTTGGGAGAAACTTTCGGACGAAATCCTCGGGGGCCTTTACGCGGTCCACGATTTTGATGGCCACATTACAGTGGTGCTTCTGAGAGGTGGCGAGCTTGACTTGGGAAAAACTGCCTTCACCAATCGAGGAGATGAACTTGTAGCCCATGCCTTTCAAAATGTTATTAATAGACATCGTTGTATATCTCACAGGAGTTTAGACACCTTGGATTGAGTTTGGATCATGTTGCTCACCTTTGCTGCAAAGTGTCTTTTAACAGGCATTGGCATTTGAATAGCATTCTATTCTGTGATGTCATAATGGAACACCACATGGTGTTTGACTGGACACATGCTGTTAAGAAACAGTAATTTAGCCCACTGATTTGTATCTTTACTCAATTAAATCCCAATTAATGCCTGATATAGTTTTGTATTTGCTTATTTTTTCTTAAACTTGACTGACTGTTGAGAACTCCATGATCATAAAAAAAGAAAGAAAAGTTTTTGTCCATTGTTGACTGTTGTCAAAATTGCCCAAAGTCATAAACACAGCAACCTTTGAATTGTTTTGGTTTGTTCGCCCTGCTCCAGAAAAATATAAAAATTTGGAAGTGTTTTTCACCCAGACCAATGGATGGTCTGGGTGAAAAACTTTCCGACTTTCTGGCAGTGTCCGACTTTCTGATTAAAAAATAAAGGTAACAACTTTATATCTCTGACTTAATATCTCATATTTGTCATTTTCTTCTAGTCATCTATTAATATCTCACAATGTGACTCAGCCTACTTTAAATACTAATTCACAATGACGTTTTTATTTTTCACTATTGAGGCGGGAAACAGGCTTCCACACACAATGGACGACTCCTCGCGCCACCAAAAGGTTGATTCAATTCCTAATGATTCTACAACCATAATTTTAAAGATGTGCAAGGAGAGACCAGCGTTGAATATTCGAGAAGATACGTCTTGGGAACAGTTTGTTTCACGGAAACGTCCTTAATCCACTTACCAAAAATGCAGTTTGTTCAGCCTCAACGTATTATTTCGACGCCCTACTTTACGCCTATGGTGAGTGATAAGATTAGTCATTAAGTTGATTCTAATTGTACATTTACACATTCGTCTCATTAGTTTTCGATGAACTCGAGTTCAATTTACTGTGTTTATTTCCCCATTCTTTTAATAGGAGAACTTTGTGCTTGTCTGCAATGACACGATACGACCTCTAAACGGCAGTGTGGCGCTAACTGTAGCCATCTCCATTAATCCAGGTATGTTTCCATTAATTATAACACACATTATTTAAAACATTGCATACTGCTTATGTTAAATGTAAACAAACTAACCAATACATATGTATAATAAGATTAAGTACTTTAAAATGCAACATTGTTTTGTTTATATGTTAGTGGCATCACAATTTATATGAATTAGTCTTATATTGTTCTCTAAAATCATTCTTGAATATGAATACTGCAATGCATGAATATATGCATGACCAGTAGTATTTCATAGATGATGTGCCAAAACAGCACAGTGTTTGAACTGAAATAGACATACTCTCGGACTGAGGATGCTACATCTGAAAGGGATGTGGTTTATGCTTGACTGAGCTCTCCAGCATCAGGGGTGCTCAGCCAATCAGACGGCACTCCCGGTGTCTCCCTGCCTCTTAATTGGCTGACACTTCCAGCAAGAGTAGCTGATCTACGCATGGAGCCTGGGTTTATCAGGCAGCAGACAGAAGCAGGGCACACAGACGGAAAAGAGAGAGCAATAACGGGGTGATTGTTGCCAGAGATAAGTGCTACTGAATCAATCAAGATGAACCACAGCTCCAACGAGAAAGACCCTGAGACCATAGAGCCACTGCGTCATCTCAGGTATGCTGTATTTTTTGGGTATTAAGCATCACAATGTGACCAAATTAGACATTGATCCTTTTAAGGCAGATTTGTGTTTAAATGCATCACAATAGGGAGCCTGTTAAGGGTGAGTAGCCTAACATTTGCACCATCTTTTCAGTCTGACTTTTAGGTAAATGAAATTTGTGACACAGAAGGATGGCTGTAATATCCACCACTGTCTAAAGAAAATGCATCTAACTTAATTTCCTCCCAGCTTTCCTGTTTACAAAAATAAGGCACACTGATTATGATCAACGTGCTTTAATAACCTGGAAACGTGGCTTGTAGGCAAACAGGTGGAAGGAACAACACACTTCAGCTCTCCCTACAGCAGTTTGTTGGTGATTTAGGCATGTCGGGAAAGGTGATGTGACATTTTAGCTGCTGGACGTTGTGATGGCAACATCATGGCCAATGATTTGCTCTTTAAACAAGCAGGGGGTCGCCTGTTTCCTGATCTGAGTGAAATATGGCATGTGTCAGAGAGCTTTCTAAAGCATTACCAGTACATAAAAGTGTCTAATTCAGTCTAACATCTAACAAATTGCCTCATATTCGTGTGAGATTTAGATATATAGCAGATGCTACGGAGTGTAACCGGAGAATATCTTTAAAAAATGACACAGAAGTGACAGAGAACAAATGGTGTTTTGATCTGAAGCCTGAGCGGCACAAGGTTTGTTTTCCATACTGGGCTTTCCTGACAAGAGAGGCCCTTGAAGCTCTTCACACCAGCCCACAACGTTTAAATACGCTGGTCGGCAAGAGACGAGGCAAATTATACACTTTAAGGGAGGATAGAATAATAGGATTTAAGGATTTGAGGTTTAACGGCGTGAATTCTGGGGAGATTAATGTTCCTGCTGTAACTTAAAACCCTCATAGCGTGTTGGTTTTGCGTGGTAACCATGCAGTGTGAACGCAAACAATTGGCTTTTCTATTATTATTATTTTTAAATCAAATCAAAACAGATTGATTTGTGGATTCACAATGTGTATCCTGGGGATAATGTGTGTTAATGGCCCCTGCGTCCTTTTATTGATGTCAAGTATTGACGCCGAAACCAAGACGGACAACATTGGGTCACAAAAAGTTGGATGTTTGAGTCGTTTTGCTTGTTAGCATGGCCTGTGCAGGATCTTCACTGATGGCCATTCAAATCTAGCCATGTATTGAAATATTTTTGCTGGCTACTTACAGTATCCACCTTAATTGTTCATCGCGGAAGTAAGCCATTTTATTGTTAATGTGCGAGACTTCTGATTCATTAGCCGCTATAGGTAAAAAAATAATAAAGTGAAGTAAACCGTACAACTACAAACTCGTGCTTTAAGTGTTAATAAATAAAATACAAAAAACAGCTTATGACATCAAGCAGCATAATGTGCTGTTTTGTACAGCTTATATGACACATTTTCAAGTTACAAATGGCCACGCCCACTTTTACGTAAAAATAAGCTGGATAAATCGCTACTATTTTGTTCTACAAGCACGTGAAGGCTTTTTACATTTCAGTCGTTACCTCAGAAAACATGGCACATTTCAAGCCTCCTACTTTTGAGATGAAATGCTTATGGCTAGTTTTCCTCACATATTATATGTTGAACTTTATTCTTTATTTAGGATTGCACACCTTTTCGACCCAACGGTTGCATCACATGAAGAAAAAGGTTTTTGTAACTGGATAGGAGTTAACAGGTGGATCTTCTATCTGACAGGGTGTCCACCCTGTTGTCGTTCTCCACAGCTATGTGCAGCTCTGTTTCTTTTTTGCCGGGCACTGTTTTTTTTTTATAGGCCTAGACTCTAAATGCAATAATGGAGCAGCCTGCATGATTTGTGGTTTGTTACCAGGCAATGTAATACTTCTAATGGAGGCCCCCATTAAAGTTAGATTATGGCGAGGTCTCGATTTACTCAGTTTGTCAAGAGCGAAACAGAGGTGTGTGTGCTTTTACTAGATGTTCTTAGTCCTCATGTATTGATGTCTAATAAGCCACTGATTTACAAGATCATGGAGCTGTGGACACCATTCTGTCTCTTCAGCTTTGATGCCAGAAATGGTTTGATGTGCCATCAATCCAGATCTATCAAACATGGTCCAGCTAGACTCAAACTCTTGAGCACCATTTTTTACTGTAACCACTGGGCTATGGCTCTGACCAGAGAATATTTTAAGAGCCAAAATTCCCATTAAATTTGCTAGGGGAATAATAAAATTGAAACTAAGGCTGATTGAGGCTACACTTCTTTACAAACAAAATTTCACAGAACTAATAAGAGTAGTATGATAGTATGCTATTTCGAAGTCAAACTATGATGCAGTGCATGTCAGTTGGAAATTTTGTCGTAATTTGATCAAATTTATCTGTTATTGGCCAGATTTTTGCTAACAACGATGACATTTCATGTTTATTCAGACACCTTCAATTCTGTTGTCTCTCACAAATCTGTTTTTTTTTTTATTATAAAAATCTCTTTTTGTGTAATTTTAACTTTTCTTTCATTTACAAAATGTTAAAAATATAGGCTAGACTTAAATAATTATTTAAAATTTATTTAAATAATATATGCTTATCTTGTATAGGCCTATACGATACCATACTAAGCAGCGTATACCTTAGCTATTCGATAACAGTGTTTCTGGGTGTTAAATTCAAATGTCTGTAAATGTTACATCTAATCCACTTAATCCACCGAGGTCCGCGAGCCGGGACTCAAACTCGGGTTGCCCGAAGCACAACGGCGCTTTACTCTAATCCTCTTGAGCAAAAAAATAAACATCACGCAAGTGTCACTACGGGAAACTGCGCGTTTTGACTGCTTATATTTCTGCCATGTTGCGCCAGGTAGCCCCGCCCACAATGAAATGCAGCTTCTCATTTCTTATTTGTGCATCCTTGTTTCCTTTCCTCGCCTCCTTTCCTCGTGTCTCAGCTCCACCCCCTTAGGATGCGAGGGAAGGATACACCATGTGCATCCTTACTCATGACTCAGGAAGCTTCCTCGGTCCTCGCCTCCTCACGGTGCAATTAAAGGAATTGAGATGCCCTTCAAGATGGCTGAGTTCGATTGGTCTCCGGGTCACGGGCTGGAGGACGGAGGAGCAAGGAAACGAGGAAGCATCAATTTGAGTATTGAGAAGCACCCCTCGCACCTCACGCGCTGTCGTATATTTCCTACTTTCCTCTTCATGTCCAATTTTTAACTAGGAAACAGCATAAACATCGAACGTGGATGAGGAGTGGCTGGGAGTGTATTATCGAATACTATTCGACAAATCCATGAAATTTCAAAGTGGAAAACAAAATCAAAAATGCAGTCTGGTGAAGCATCATGAAAGTCATAAAAACACGAGGTATGTTCCTTAATGTACGCTTTTCTATGCTGCCCTGCTTTGCGAGTGAACTCGCAAATGGAGATAACTGTTTTGATTGGCGTTTTTGTGCTGGATTGCATCACATCAAGCCATATTTTTGTGCTCTTGACAGACAAATAGCTTGTCAGTAGATAATGGCATCAAGTTTGGTTAGTGCGCACTCGGAGGGCTTGGTGACGTCAGCCGAAAAGGATAGCCGTTTCAGAACGGAGCAAGTTACATTTTATAAAAGAATACGAAAACAAATAGGTTTTAATGGAATAATGTGCTCCATGAATCGTTCACAATAACACCAGATGTATTATGAATGTAAATAGTCAATTTTGATTTGAAGTTGACTATAATTAAAGATAAAATTATTCATAATTGCTAATATCTCTGAGAACAGAGTTAAATAGAGACATGTTTTATTATTAAAGACAGTAAAAGGACAGAATGGAAGATAAAGTGCTTCTTTTTCTCTTTTGGGAGAAGGATTTTAATGTTCGTTTTATTTTAACCACTTTTGCTTATCCATCCGAGAGCTTGCCCACCAGAGTCAGCTCATATAGAGCCTCATTTATTGAGCTATAAAGAGGGGAGATTAAAGTTTATATCACAGGCAAAATAACTGGCTAGTCGCTACAGTAAAACACCACCACTTCAGTTTCAATATCTGCTTTCATTGTTAGTTTGGTAAATCAAATCTAGTTTAAAAAAATAAATACCGGTAGTTTATCATATGCTAAACAGGTCCAAATCTCTCCATATCACACCAATTTAGTGATTACAGAGGTTGACTTTTCTCAAATGTCTATTCTTCAATCAAGGGGTTGAAGGAGATTGACAGTATTTCTTTTTCTCCCTTTGACGTGTATAATGAGTGTCATCACTGCTTGTGGTTGTGGTTTGGGCTGTGAATCTGTTGGATGAGATTGACAGTGCTTCGTTTTTCTCCTCCTGATGTGTTTAATGAGTGTCTTCACTGCCAAGCTGCTTCGTAAAGAAGTGCCTCTATTTCTGATAGACTAGGTGAGATGTAGGAGATGGGGGAGGTGGGATTGTTTATAAGAAAGCACCTTCCTCCATGCAGGCGCGGTGTCCTCAAGAAAACTGAGAAATCAAACTTGATTGAGATCCCCTTGAGTAATTGTCCTCCATTTTTGTCTTTTTCTCTGATTCACACGGCTATTGTTTATTTTGCAAGTCAAGTTACAAATGAAAAGAATAATTTTTGCTTCATAAAAAATTCAAAGGTCTGTCCTAGAATGCCCTACATTTCATTGATCTAATTGAATTTCATGTTTTACTCAGAAATACATCAGATGAGGGAAGCAAAACGCGTTAAGAAAGGAATTTTGTGTAAAGTCATTTTCCTTTGTTCCCCCTCCCCTAAAAACTCGCCCACATTCCAGCATGGTGGAATATGAGTACTAGGAGGGTGGTACAGGTAATTTTAAGACTATCATGCAAGAAAAAAAACGCATCAGGTATGTGATGTATAATCAGTGAGGCTAGACGCATGTAGTGGGGAACCATCAACTGTTAAAAGTGTCAATAGGAGCTGTTTTCACGAGCACATGGTACAATTTCCATTAGCAGAGAACAGCTGCGAAT